GTAGTTATATATGGGTTCCAGTGAATGTAATCTATTAATTGGAAAATATTCCTAGCTTTGTTGTATCAACTTTATTACAGGCAATTCAAAAATGTGTATTAAAGCTGCATAATGGCAGAATCTCATAAATGTGCTTTTAACATAAAGATTTCTCCTATTCTATATATAGTCTATATTTTCCAAGTTCAATATCATAAATATTCAATTGATTGCAAATGATTTCATAAGAAGAAAAGGTTCTAGAGATAATAGGAAATTCAAGATGAATAGAGTTAACAGACCTAGGGAAATGTGATTTCTCAGTATTTTTTAATATTGAAATATGCTTTAAATCTTGGAAGAGGATCAGGGATACGGTCTCACCAAGTATAGATCGATGATAGATTGATAGATGGGTAGATAGATGAGAGATAGATAGATAGATAAATAGATAGATAGATAGATAGATAGATAGATAGATAGATAGATAGATAGATAGATAGATAGATGCAGGCTGTCCTGCACAATTAAGGATATTAGCAGCATCTGTTCCACTAGATTCTGGGAGCAAGCAACTACAAATACTTCTAGATACTGCCCAGATATCCAGATATATATTGGGGAATAAAATATAACCTTTGTGAGATCCACAAAATAGATGGAAAATATATACATATGAAATATAGATTTGAAAATTTTTACCTTGACTGTCTTTGATCTATCAGGGATCCATTATCATCAAACTCAATAAATAACTTTTAATATGTTGCTGACATCAAAACCTGCTCATTGATATGCAACTCCACCAAAAGAATCTGTTTTCAAAGTTGCATGAAAGGTACATAAATCTATAGTCCCCTCAAAACTGGGCCTTAGCTGAAAAAATCATTTGATTTGAGTTATACTTCTCTAAAAACATTATCCAGAAATAAAGTTTAGGCTTTTCTCATTGAGACTTGAGTGGCAGAAATAAAAGGATTGACTACCAGCTGTCTCTTGTTAGTCCATATGTATCACAAAAGGTTGTAGAGGAGAACTTTTCAGAGAAAGGGATGGTAGGAATTTAATAGAAGCTTCTCAAGTCTAGAAACTCTTTAGAGCAAACAAGTAAGCATGCATGCATGTTTCCTGTGAATAGCCACCAAAGAAATGCTAGTGTTGTATATAATTTTGTATTATAGAGAGATTGCATATGTGCGGACATGTGCACAAATATTTGTGTCCTAAGAAATAAATGTCTTAAACCAAAAAGACTGGAAAATTTTATAATTTTCTTATGATAGAAATAAATTTATGTCTTTACTTAGACAACCACTGGGAAATCACCATCCAAAGCAGAATTTTAATATATGCCAGACAACAAATATTAAGGGAAACACTTATAAATCTGGGAACTAAAGCTACTTTCACATTCCTCTTGAAAGATAATTATATTATTGCTAGAATTGACCATCTCTTGTCTAAATCCATCCAAGGTGAGTATCAGAAGAAACTGCATTTGAAAAATGATGAAAGAAGAAAGAAATGTAAGAGAAATCTACAAATGATTTAAGTTTTTGAGAGTTGGCAATGGGAATTTCACTCAACAAGACCAAGCCATAGAAATTCAATTGCAAAATTACATGGTTCTTCTATGGGTGGCATGGAAAAGGGTCGCCGAAGGTCTGTAATTCTCTGTATATTTCAGGAAAGAATTCTCCCCTCCTCTTTAGGTACATAGTCTTCAGCGATGAGGCTGAGATAGGATAGCATACTCCTGGGTATACTACAGCATCAACAGCAGTATGATGGTGAGTCATATTTTATTTTAAATAATTTAAAGAATGAGTTCTGTGAGGCCTCAACATGTCTGAATGTGCAAGACGGCTTAATTAATATAGTATTAAGGTTATACAATAGATGGATGTAGTTAAACTTGTCATCACAAATTTTGATGCATTCAATCGCATTCGTACTTGTGTGGTCTTCTGTCACATTTAACCTTGTTTCCATGTCTTCTATTGAGGATCATAACAGCAATTATGGAAAATATTTCCAGGATTATGGAGGAACATTAAAAGGAGAATATTTTTGAACCAGGTACTCCTGATTCATGCTTGGGCAGGAAAGTCCAGACACTTATCTCCAATCAACCATCAAAAAGTTGTAAGCTAAATTGTGGCTCATGTGGTACAGTGAAAATGCTTTTTCTCCTTCAGCAAAAATACTATGGGAGAGCACGGTGGTCCTGAGTTCAGCATATACATACAATGTACACACACACACGGTACTTGCAAATTTCATGGTACACAATGTAGATAGACACCTGGATATGTTTAAGTGTTTGATAAATATTGCTTGGTTCCTAAATTTTTATTTCTTTAGTTTAAAGTCACTTGGATTTGGAGCAGGAAAGGGTTAACTTCCCAAGTGACTCATGAAAAGAATTAAAAAAATATCCTTAAACTAGTTTTGGAAGAGATCTAGTTTTCAGCCAACAGACCACATCAACATTTGCATGCAGGTTTAACTTACCATTTGTTGTGGGTCCAAGAATTGCAGGTGAAACTAAAAGCAAATGTTTGAAGATTTCACCAAAATATTCATGAATATTTTAAAGAGAATACATAAAATACATTGACAATTTCCTTATGAGAATGTCTATATCCACATAGAGGTAAAACCTGGCTTCAAGATTATTTTTTCCTTCGTTCCTTTCTAGTTTTTAATTTTGACATATGAGAAGTTTTAGATTGGATTCTATTCCATCGTTACCCATGAACAGGGAAAATAAAAATTTTACATAATTGCTTTTACTTCTGTCTGATTCTTAGAGGGGAAAATACTTTCTGCTGCAAATATTCAAAATGCAGGGAAGTATCAAGGAAACACAGGAGATAAAGCAGACATAACATTGTCAATGAGAGGAATGCTACAATGTTCCAACACTTGAAACATCTGTGTATAAAAATCATGATGAGGGAAGGAGATACTATTTTTCACTCATCATATTCTTCCATCAAGCTCTCCTGGCCTAAAATTAAAAGTACAACCATGTATAATTTGTGCAAAGAGACTTATACCACCTAAGAATTACAATTAATAAAATGTCTTTATTTATCACACCTAACTAATTCAGGTTCAGAAGCACCAAAGCTAATCAAGAAAAACAAAGACATTCAAAAATCCTAAAGTGTATGTCAACTATTTTATTTGACAAGGAAATTCGACAAGGGAATCTGCCATCAAAGAATGCTTTTGCCTACCCCAAACTGAAACCTATGTATATCAGAGAGGCTGCACTATCAACCCTATGGGCTAAAATAGTAAAAGGTTTTCTCATTTTTTGATGGCCAAATTCCATCCTGTAAGCAGTGCATTAGACGCTAATGACATACGATTTCTCACTGACAGATTTAACAGCATCAATAAGGCCTCTCTGTCCATTGCAGCAAATTGATCCTACATGACACTGACAAGGGCAGCTTGCACTTAATGACCTCCATTGCTGAAGGATGGAGATGAAAAATGACTAGAAGTCCAAATAAATCTTTGAAAGTTTCCCTGAAACAGGTGTGCCCCAAGTGATTCGTCTGGGGAATCACAAACACAAACCTCATCTCCTAACACTCGCCGCTGCCTGCCATGCCAGATCTCACTCCTTGCACCTTGCAACAGGGTTTGCTTTTATTCATGCAATGGGAGTATGACTAAAGGAAGATTGTGTTAGGATTCTTTCTGGAAAGGCATGAGTCTCCAATATTTACTCAGCTATTTAATATATTTATCCTTTGCCATCAAAGAACTATACTGAACACATAGACACTTTTTATTGCTAATCCTGGGGCCTGAACCCAGAGCCTAGGCACTGTCCCTGAGCTTCTTTTGCTCAAGGATAGCACTTTACCATTTCAGCCACAGGGCCACTTCCAGCTTTTTCTTTTTATGTGGTACTGAGGAATCTAACTCAGGACTCCATGCATGCTAGGCAAGCACTCTACCACTAAGCCACATTTCCAACCCTAGACACTTGTTCTTTATTCTCCCTTTGATTTGAAAATAAAGTAGAGAATAAGAATGGATGATTTTCCCTTTTGCAATTTTCAGCAGCACATAGGACCTTTATGATCCCACCAGCAATGCCAACTACATGAAATGATTGGATAAATACTCCACAGACACATCCTTTCCTTGAATCTTACACACTTATTTGAAGATTTGGGCAGGGTGGATATGTATGTTCAATTCTTCCTTAAGTATTTTATTTCATTTTTTGATCTGCTTTCTCATATTATTTCAGTACACATTTGTTAAATGAAAGATACATCCTTCTTCTACCCAGTGTAGTTGGAAGCTCTCTCATTTGAGTAGGTAGAGGAGAAATGGAGTTGAATTTATAAGCAGCATATGGGTGAGTGAAATAATACGTACAGTTACATAATAATCCTTTATATTTAAAGTAAATGATTATGAATGTCTCTTTTTTATTCCTTACCAATTAACCTGTGAGATCACTGTGACATCATAGGTGAGAAAACTAGTCTCTTACATTGTAGATGAGAAAGGTAAGACTGGAAAGGGTTAACTAACTTGCCAATCAACTAGATTGATAGAGGTGCTGGGGAGACAAGGGGATGGCAATTAAAAGCAAGTACTTGAGAAATGGCAGATTAGACATTGTCTATGTCTCAAACATTTCTCCCAAGATTCAATTTTGAAAACATTACTGAAATAGACCAAAAAACTCTTTACAAAAAGAAAACATGCCTTTTTTTGGTTGTATAAGGATACTCAACATATTGAAGACTCTCTAAAATGATATATGTGGTTTTTTTTACTTTTTTGTGATACACGTATCAAATAAATCATTTTTTTTAAAAAAAGAAAGAAACAGAAAGAAAGAAAGGAAGGAAGAAAGAAAGGAAGGAAGAAAGAAAGAAAGAAAGAAAGAAAGAAAGAAAGAAAGAAAGAAAGAAAGAAAGAAAGAAAGAAAGAAAGGAAGGAAGGAAGGAAGGAAGGAAGGAAGGAAGGAAAACCAATACCTGCTTCTTGTCACTAACTGACTCATAGAGTGGTAGCTGCCTGGTGAATAGATTGAAGAAAGCATCCTTTTCCTCTAAGTAAATTGTCTGAGTCTTTTGATATTCTTGAGCTAAACGGTAGTTTTCTTTCAGCAAATCATCCTGTTTTTTCTAGAAGATAAGCATATACAGTTAAAATCATTTACATGTGTTTCCAACATTTGCATCATTTGAATTAGCTAAAAACATCTAACATAGACTGTAGAAAAAAACAAACCATGTTTTCTCTGACACCAATATCCCCGCCTTGGATTTACTCATTTTCAGTCTTGGTGCACTTTTCTTTTTATTCCATTTTCTGTGATTTCTCAGAGTGAATCTGTCTGTTTCATTTCCTTCTTCCCTTGCCTTTGGTCTCTCCTGGGAGTTTGGCCACCTCTGTTCAACATCAATGATCTTCTTCTGGTTTCCCATTCTGTTTTCTTTTCTTTCCCTTCCCCCCACTCATGCTCAAATAGAACACACTTCTATGCTTAGAACTGGATCACTGACAACTTCAGAATATTGACATTCACACACTCAAAGGATAGGAGGAAAGTATGAAAGAAAACAGTTGTGAACATTTAGAGGTACCAAAGCTATGATGTCAATACATTTTAGCTACATTGTTTTATATTTTGTATTTGGGGATTTTAAAACCTAACACTATCCTCCATGACTAAACACATGTTTGTCAAATCTAATACAAACCACTTAGAAAATAACTGCACCACTGCCTATTGACGTACTGGGACTATCTGTAATTTTAAGTTAGATGCATGAGTTTAGTTAAGTTAATAACTTCTTTCCCAGGTTTCTTTTACAGAAAACATTGTCTGCTTTGAAAGATAGAGAAATTAGAAAAACTTAGAAAAATAACTTACTTGAATTACTTTGATAGCAATTTATATTAGTGACTTCTTCAAAATTAATTCTAAGTAAAAACACATGAAAAACTTAACCTCCTGTAATGTTATCCACAGTGGTAAGAGTAATAAACTCATAGACTCAGATTAAAAGCATAATGATAATTTAATTACTAAATACAAAGTTAACCATTGTGTACCAGTGAAGATGTGAAAGTTGACATTACATCAAACCTTTAGTATAAGTTGTTAAAAAATATATACGTGGTACTGAGAGTACACATAATAAATGTAATTCAGCAAAAAATTGCCTTTACAAATATTTCCACATTTATATGTTTGAGCATTTAGTAAGGCCAGCAAATATATGTCTCATGAAAGCCTGGTGTCCATATTGATCCCTAGTGATTTATATTATGTCACAGGTATTCTTCAAAAAGCCAAAATGATAAACAGAGATCCATTTACTTTTCCCTTGTCCTAATTCTAGTCCAAGAGCTACAAACTTTAGAAACTTATGTGGGAAACTTGCCTAAAATCACAGCAAACTATCTGTCATTAGAAGGGCCAAATGCTATAAATATTTCCATAGAATTAGATGGAGTCAGTTTTAATATTTTGTATACCTGAATGACAATATTAAAATCTAATTTTTCAGTGACAGACCTGAAACACCAATGAATGTTCTTCTGGAGACAGAAGGCAAGATAATTTTGAGTGGTTTGTTAAGTTAGGAATGGGAAATTCCACTTAGAGAATTGGATTATTTGTGAACAAGAATCATAGAGCTTAATTTATATTTTACTATGTGACAGATAGGCAAGAACTTACAAATAAAGCTAATTTCTGAATGTTAACCTATGATTTCCATACAGAGCAGATAAAAATTGAATCTAACATAGTCACTGTAAAGAGAAATACACTACTTCAGACATTAATTAATTTTAATAGGATATATGACAAAATAGGATAATAAGAAAATGATCATAAAAATTAGAATGAAAGTCACAGGTAACATTAGGATAGAGAGTGTTTACTATAACCAGCAATTAGTCTATGAAGGCAATATTGACTGAATTTATTCTCATACCAATTATCTGGAATGTTACATGATTATCCTCATTTTATAGATAAAGAAGACAAGGTAAGCGCACCAAATTGTAGTTTCCAAAAATGGTTACATGTGTTTTTCCAAAACCTTGTAACTTGACATAAAAGTGGTGTCTCCTTCCCTGCATTTTTGGTCATTAATCAAGTACAGTAGGAACAATGCTGTGACTTGCCAAGCTCATTTATAAAAAACAAAAAGTTTCTGAGTGTCTGTCTTGGAATGCATTTTCCCAGTCGTGCTAATGTTAGGAATCCAACTCCCAAGGACAAAGCATGAGTAGGAGACTCAGTAAACTGTCCTCACACAGAGTTGACACCATCAACTGAGTGAATGACACATCTAAAGAAGCCATATTTTCAACTCCATGTTTCCATCTACAGTCCAGAAGATCTGAAAAAGAGGCGATCCATTCTTCGTGTGCCCTCTACAAGTTTCTAACACAGTACCAAGAGCATAACAAAAACTGCACAGTTAGTTTTCAGGTGTTTGTTATATGAGCATTACAATGGAAACACCTGTATCTCATGCAAAGTAGTGCAGATACTAGGGGGACAATCTAGAGTTTGCATCCGGGTAGACAGGTACTGGGTCCAAAACTCCTAACTATTGTATTAACCCTCAAAACACAAGCCAGTACTCTTAAACATATATAAGGCTGGCATCATAAAACCCAATAGCCACCGATAATCAAATCAATTAACTTACATCTTTGTTTTGATTTCATTTCCACCAAACAACTCTCTCACACTAATTTGATTAATGCATAGCCTGTTTAGATGGAATAGGCTGCTAAAGAAAATTAGAACTTGAGACCTTTACAAGGCATTCTTTACGTGTTGGTTATATATAATTAGGCCCCTTTCTTTATTTTTTTTTTAAATTTTATTGTAAAGATGCTGTACAGAGGAGTTACAGTTACACGAGTAAGGCAACGAGTACATTATTTATCAATCATTGTTACCCCTTCCTTTACTGTTGCCCCACTATCCCTTCCCTCCCCCACCTCCCACACTCCTTGCACCCCCAACCCTCCCCCCAGCCGAAGTTGTAAAGTTCATTCCCAATATACTATCCTGTGGGTCTCACTGTTGCAATGGGTCATTCTATGTCCTTGTTTCACCATTTTGTTATTCCCCTTCCCCTCCCCAGATTAGACAAATGCATATACAAGATGCAGGGTACCAAAATCAAGTACAGTGACAACAGGGGATATACCATAGGGAAAAGAACATACAAAGGAAACAAAAAAAATCACCTGATCTTTTCATTTACTAACAAAGGGGGCAATTCTTTCTGATGGAGGCATAGAATTCCATTGTGTATATATACCACATTTTCTTGATCCATTCATCTACTGAGGGGCATCTGGGTTGGTTCCATATCTTAGCTATGGTAAATAATGCTGCAATAAACATAGTTGTGCTGGTAGCTTTAGTGTGGTTTTGTTTGTGATCATTTGGGTAAATTCCCAAAAGTGGGATTGCTGGGTCATAGGGGGGCTCTATGTGGAGTCTTTTGAGGAACCTCCATACTACTTTCCAAAGTAGTTGAACAAGTTTACACTCCCACCAACAATACAGTAAGGTTCCCTTCTGTCCACATCCCCTCCAGCATCTGTTGTTATTAGAGTTCTTGATTATAGCCATTCTAACTGGGGTGAAGTGGTATCTCAATGTTGTTTTGATTTGCATTTCTTTTATGGCTAGAGAGGTTGAGCAATTCTTCATGTGTCTACTGGCCATTGTTATATCCTCTTCAGAGAAGTTTCTCTTTAAGTCATTAACCCACTTATTTATTGGGCAGTTGTTTCTTTGAGGATTTGTTTTGGGGTATTTATTTTTTTGAGTTCCAGGTATATTTTAGATATGAGACCTTTGTCCATTGTATGGCTAGTGAAGATCTTCTTCCAATCCGTGGGCTTTCTATTGATCTTGCTAGCTATGTCCTTTGCTATGCAGAAGCTAGGTGAAGTAAGGCAGGCCTAAAGAAACATAGGTCCCATGGATTCCCTTATTTGCAATAACTAGTATATATCTGAGACAAGCAGAAAAGGTCAGTTAAGATGATATTAAGCGAAATAACCCCAAGATAAGAACATAAGTGTTTCTTTTTCTTTCTTGCTATTGTTTCTAACGTATTTATAAGGTACCACATGAGTTTTTGCTGCTTTGTATGTCCCTCCCCCACGGTATAACCCCTGTTTTCACTGTATTTGATACTGGCATAATTTGGGGAGGGGAAGGGAAAAAACAAATTGTTTAAACAGGGATACAGGTTGACCCATTGCAACAATGAGATGTACAAGACACTATGTCGAAAAATGAACTTTACAAATTAGGCAGCGGGACGGGGGGAGGGGGGATATATAGTTGTGGAGATGGGAGGGAAGGGGTGGTAGGGACAAAGGAGGAGGCAAAAATGCTTGATAAGAAATGTACTTATTACCTTGCTCATGTGATTGTAACCCCTCTGTACAGTATTTTCACAATAAAAAAACTTATTTTAAAATTACCTAGTACATTTAAAACAACAACAGCAGGGGCTAGGAAGTTGGCTCAGTGGTCCAGTGCTTGCCTCGCGTGCATGAGGCCCTGGGTTCGATTCTTCAGCACCGCATAAGCAGAAAAATCCTGGAAGTGGCACTGTGGCTCAAGTGGTAGGGTCATAGCCTTGAGCTGAAGAGCTCTGGGACAGCACCCAGGCCCAGAGTTCAGCCCCCACGACCAACAAAAAACAAAACAAAACATAAATAACAACAACAAAGAAAGACCTCTTATGTCCTTATCTTGGGGTTGATTTCACTTAGCATCAATTTATATGATTGTGTGTACATACTGTTTAAGCTTTTCAGCTCATCTGATAAGATTAGGTTCCTTTCTATCTTATCATACTCATAATTTGATTAGGCTTGATGCATTCATTGGCAAGGCTGGGCCCACAGACCTTCTAAGTTGAGGCCTCAAGTCGCTGGGCTTTGGTCAGTACAGTAGAGTAATGCTAACACAGAGCAGAAAGCCTCAATTCATATGAATTATTTTTTTTTAATTTAAGATGGACTACCACAAAAGGAGATTATAAGAGAAAACAGTTCAAACATGCTAGAGAAGTCAGTAAAATTAAAACATATGCACTGTACTAAATACACAGAAAATCTA